ATATTCCTTTTGGCGCGGGTCGGGGCCCCCTGACCTTCGCGGGGGGGGGGAGGAAGGTGGCTGTGGCAGGAAAGGGAGGTACGACGTGTCAGGAATTTGAAAGGACTACTAGGCTCTACCCCCAAAACTCTCAGGCACTGGCAAATCTTTCCAAGCGGGTGGTAGCTTTACAAAGAAGTCGGTCAAAGCTGCAAAACAGTTGACGTTCGGAACTTGCACCTTCAGAGTCCTGAAGGCAATAATGAACTATTGGACACCTCTTCAGAACCAACAGAGGTTGAAGGACCCTATAGGCTATCCCATAGGTACCCCAGTAGGGTCCTATAAGGTCACTTAACCTCTCTTGGAACATGCAGTGAAATTGCACGAGTTCCAACATGTTTAAAACCCAGGGGAGGGGTGGAGGGAGTACAGAACTGTTGGTGAACCCCCCCCCAAGTGACGGTCGTCCAGTTCGGCCTTTTGCCCGAAGACCTCGAAAATTCCTGGTCGACCTGATCCTTTTCCAGATGGACTCAGGATGTATCAAGAAGTGCATAAACCCCCCGTCCCGTGCAACGCGTGAATGGAACGCTGAATTCAGGCGGCGACCGGATTCGAAGCGCGACCGGATTCAGCCGTGAACGGCTGCGGTCGTTGATCGTCGGTGGGTTGATATGACTCATGTCGTGCCAAAAGCCTCTGGTGACTTCGAGATACTTCCAGCATCTTCCAGCTACATCCAGCATCTTCCAGCTACATCCAGCATCTTCCAGCTACACCCAGCATCTTCCAGCTATCCCCACCCAACCAGGCTTATGGGACAAGAGGTGTCGTTTTGACCCGATCTCGCTCGTGGAATCCTACAGGGATTTGATCCCTTCTTTTCTCAGTGTTGCTCACCCATGCCCGACCGGTTTGGAGTGTCTGGGCATCTGGGCGAACGGAGCGTATGAGCGTTGAACAGGCTGTGAACATGATGATTTTTGCAACCCACCAGGTCTGTTTCGCTGCATTGATTTTGGAGGGATCTCGGGTGGGTCGCCGTCTTGTCTTGGTGCTGCCCCAACAAAGAGATCGATGAGGATTCGGTCTACTCGACTGACATCATCTGACTCTACAGCTTTCTGAGGGCTTCGGAGTCCCCGGTAGCTACACCCGAGGGCCTAGGCGTTCAACCACCATTGCTTTGGTTGTTTTTCACCCAACAACAATTTGTCGACTGCTACAAACCCGGTTCAACCTTTCTTTTCAGGGTATATTTTCATGTCAACTGGTCATTCTAGGTCCCTTCTTCCTACAAGGCTCCGAGTGAACTTGGTGCTGTGCCTCAATCCGGGGCTCACCTTTACGGCGCGGTGTGGGAAGCGGGCTGAGCGGAGGGAAGGTGTTGGGAGGCAGAAGAGCGAGGAGAAGCTGTGATGAGGTGTGTCAAGAAGAGGGGAGAAAGGTTTTGGAATGACTCCTGAAAGTCCAGTCGACTAGTTTTTGATCGTTTTTGTGTGGTTAAACAAGGTGATCCCAAGAGGAACTTCCTTTACTTCAGTGGTCGAAACTGGACTTCTAGGGTGAAGGGTTTGGAACTGAATTTGGAAGATGGAGGCGCGCATGGCCATGCCCCCCCATGCCCAATCGCGAAGTTCGCCACCCTCCAAGCCCATCCGGCCATGCGGCCATGCGGCGCCTCCCTCCAGGCCTTGGCGCAGATCAAGAACCTGTTGCTTTCACTCTCGCGGAGGCACGGTGGCTCGGCTCGGTTCTACCGGTGAGGAGAAGAGGTGCAGGGGTGCAACGGTGTGTTTGCAGGAAGCTTCAGGATTTAGACATGGTCTCCCTGAATCACACACATTTTTGGGGTGACGCAGCAAACAGAGACTGTATAGGATTAAGAATGGATTATATAAGATGGTGCCCACCAAAATCCTTTTGGTCACAGAACGCACATAGTCGTTCGTCCAAAATGCTCCGCCCCGCGACCGTCTGGTCTGGCTTGGATGTGATGGTTGAAACCTCTCCCTAGCCCCTCCAGGACCATAGTACAGATCTCAAACCACTAAACACCACCCCTTGGTGACTGCTGGAATATGTAATTTTCTTTGACAAGAAGAACGAACTCAATCACTTCGCGGGCCAGTTCTTTCTACCCCAACAACCACACCCCTAGCTCACCCTAGCTCGCGTTCCCTCTACACTGCGGAGCTCTGACCCAGTCGTGACCCGAGTTCCGACTCGACCCATCGATGGCGTCGGATCCACTGTTGAACACCGGCTCCGCCGGCTCCGTTCGCACGGTCTCGCGTGGAAATCCCAACCCGACCTCCCTTTCGCACCGGGTGCTGCAGGGTGCCGCCGGGGCCAAAAGGGGGGTTCTGGAAAGAGGTCGGAACTGTCCCCGTCAATCCTCCCAGTTCGGTGCACCGCATCAGTTCGGTGTTTCACCCACCACCTGCAGGGCCTGGTGGATCCCGGGTCCTGCACATCGAGTCTCTTCGTTCCAGAACATCGAGGGCGCCGGAAGGGGCGGCGCTCGCCCACGAGGCAAAGCCTCTCCACGCTGGAAGCAGCTTTCGCGGCTCGGTGAGATTTCATCAACGGGCAGAAATGATTTGATATGACATTTGTTTCATATTAGTAGCAAGAAACTACTAGTAACAAGGGCATCGCTACTAGTAGCAAGTGCATCGCTACTAGTAACAAGGGAATTACTACTAGTAGCAAGAAGCTGCTACTTCATGTTTGTTGATGTCAAAGACCTTCGAGCCATTTCATTAGGCTGCCCTCATTTTGAGCAACTTTGAATCAATTTGGAAGGATCTACTGTTTGTTCCACCTGATTACTACTGGTGCCTATACATCCTATACTGTCAATCAGTCAGTGACTGGGTGCTGGTTTCAGACATTTCTATGTTCGACCTTTACTTGGGATGAATCATCCCACTGACCATATTTTTTCGTGGATTGAAACCACGTAACCAGGAACCAGGTGCTGTTTAACAGGTCCGTTTTGACACGCCCCCTTCTTTTTCCCGAACCTACGTCCATTTTGTGGTTGCTTTCACTCTGAAGACCTTCTTAGTCCCCTTGAGGTCGCCTCAGAGATGTGAGGGGCCATGGGGTTGGCCATGTCCGGTGAGCGGCCCCAAACGCTCCTGTTTGTTCCACCAATATGGCATGGGAAGGATTGGCCGATTGGCCGCCTTGTTGCATTGAACACTCAGTCGTCGTTTTTTTGACGCTGAATATTCCCAACAGAGGCCTTCTTGATGTGCAGATGTTGTGTCGAAGTGGTGAAACCGAAAGTCTGCAGTTTCAGGCCGGAGTCTTGGCGAAGCTGTTGGCCCTTCTCCTCTCATATCCTTTGATGAGAGGCAAATCCCTGGTTCAGGCCCGCTTGAAACGCGTTTCTCGAAACGCGTCGTTCAAAAAAAGGCGTTTCGGGGACCGCGGACCTCGATTGACCCAGTCCACCACCTCGATTCTGCCTGATCCTGTGATCCTGGCACGCGGATTGGGTGGATGTTTGGTTTCCCCGATGGCACCAGGAGACCGGCCGGTGTTTCCCTATACCTGGGAGGTCTTGAAACCACATGGCGGACTGGTGGGGCTGCAGGTGGGACGACCCATCCCCAACTGAGGGAAGCCCCCAGCTACATGATCCGCGTGATGATTCGTGTGGACCTTCCAAACGATGGATGCTGTGGATCATGCGTGTCTTGACATGCCTAGGCCTTCAATGTTTGTTGGTGGGTCCGTCGGCCAGGTGGGGCCCGTGGGAGTTGCCACCTTGGGAAGATTTTGGAAGTCTGCTGACAGCCTCTAGAGACCCTAGAGTTGACGAACCACAGGGTGTTCACCAGACCGTCACACCATCTTCACCTTCACCTTCTATAATTCACCTGGACCGTCCCTCGGTCCCACCATCCCTCCAGCATCGCGAGCGGGAGCTCCAGGCACGCGACACGGGCACAGGAGTGCTTCATGCCGGAATGGCCTAGAGACGGAGAGAGAGAGCGGGAGAGGCAGCCGGAGCCGGTGACTCGGGGTGACTCGGGTGGTTGAAACGGTTGCATGGTGAGAGTGAGTGGATGTGATCGGGGTGTGATTTTTTTTGGCATTTTGTGAAAAAGGCACCCGAACTGGGGGTTGCTGGTGCCCATAGAAATGGACTCACGTCCCATCATCTATAGCTATTTATATCGGATTATGTGGGTATATCATGGTATATCGGTATATCCAACATTTTTTAGTTCAAAATAAGACCGCAAAGATCACAGTGGTATAATCTCGGATGCCATCGGGCTGTTCAACCTCTCTAAGAACTGCGCGAACTTCGCAGCGCCAAAAGCCGCGAAGAAAAAGCACCACTCGGAGTTCCGACGCCTTGGCCTTTCCAAGAGAGGTTAAGTGACCTTATAGGACCCTACAGGAGTACCTATAGGATAGTCTATAGGGTTCTGACCCACCTCTGCTGGGGCCTTTCTCCTGTCGGCTTCCCCCTGAGGTGTTGCGGCATGTGGCCCGAGATGAGGGTGCCAGGAGTCTCTATCAGGCGTCGAAGGAACGGCTCCGTGACACCCGGTCATCCCAGTCCCTGAAAACATTCTGTAATTGATTATTGCAGGTCGCAGGGAGTGTTTATTTTTTTGCTGTACCTGCATCTTCCAACTGCGCCAAGCTTTCTGCCGAGCTTGGCTGTTTTGGATGGATGAACATAAGGCGGAAGATCATCCTTGAAACTCCAGACCCCTCCAGAGATGCTGTCAGATCCGGGTCCAGGGTCCCTGGGTGGGTGGCTTCACGCTTCACAGCGACTTCGTAGGTGGGAAGGTTTGTTCCGCTGAACCCATTCTTTTTTTCTGGAAGGTCCCGCCCCAAGTCAAGCCAGGTTGACCAAAGATAGCACAACGTCAGGTTCGCATGTGGCCTTTGCGTGTTGCTGCCGAACACGCATTTTCTCAGATCACCTCAGATCTATGTTCAAAGTCAGCCTACGTCTGTCATTCGCCCTCCGTCGGTCAACCATGGACCGTTTCCCCTCGGACCTCAACGAAACGATCGCTCCCCACAGCGTAGCGTGCAATCCTTTCATCGATTTGCTCCTTGGTGCAGAAGGCCGGTGGTCACGACGCACAAGGTCCGCGCTTTTCGGCCGCGGCCGGTGGGTGGTCACGGTTCATACGGGTGAATGACGGACACCGGGCAGGTGGACCACGGGCTGGTGACTAGTGCATGCTTTGGAGACACTTGCACTCCAAATCCATCCGAATCCTTTTTCTGCTTACCTCGCTATAATATAAATGATCTTTGTGAACGGAATGAACCCCCTAGACGAAGGGCTTTTGCAATTCAATTGGGATCAAAATGGGTGGGTTATTGCTCAAAAGTCTATACACTTAGGACTTCTACTCAAACCCTTGTACTCGTATCGGTGATGTCGAGACACTCCGATGGAGATCCATCAGTATCCAGCACCAGTGGCTGGTGCTGCAGCACCACCAGCACCAGCCAGTTCGGATGGTGGGATAGACCAACCCCCTGCTCCTTGTACTTAACCATCACCACCCAAAAACCATCCCTGACCACGTCGCATACCGCCCAAAAGCATCCTTGGTGCCTGGAACTCCTAGGTCGACTCGATCTTTTGTGGGGACCAACATGATTGTCCAGTGGGTTCACCCACGCCCGAGCCGTGCCGTGCCGTGAAGAGCCCATTTGGAGCGGAGCTCAGCCGCTAAGCCAAGGAGCCCCAAGCGGATGCCCCGAGAAGCCGAAGAGCCACTCCACAGGCCGCAGTTCGCTTCGCTGTCCGACCCACGCGCCGCGGAGGGGGAAAGCGCGGGGGAAACACCACGCCACGCGGTGGCGCGGGGTTCGCGCGTCCTGAACAACCATGCTGTTGAGGATTTTGGACTACAGACTACACGATCATCTTGGATTCTCGAAGAGGTGCTTCATGGTGACCAGTTGGTCCCAAAGGTGACAAGTTGGTCCCAAAACTGGAGGGTCGTGAGGGAGTCCACGGTCAGCACTCCGCACTCGAATCGCAATTCAAAGCCTCTTGGGTTTCTTTCAAGCAAACGTTCAGCGTGCTCAACTTGGAATGTGTTTCGCCCATGGGCTTGCCAATACAACGTCCCAGGGTTTTGGGTGGTGTTGCGAGGTCCTGGGGCAAGGTGCGGGGCTGGGGCTTGGGCTTCATGGCACTTGGCACCCGACGTGTCGACCGGCAAGCCGGCTTTCGTGTCGACGTGTCGACCGGCGCCCGAGTTTCGGTGGGCTCCAGGAGGATGGCGCGAAATCCCTTCACCGGCTTCATTCAGCACAGCGTTTGTTCGACCACTTCACAGATCCGCCGTGGCATGCCCGTCGTCCTTCAGCCGCGCCGCCTTTCGGTGGGCTCCTGGGCCTGGTAAGCTGCCGGTGAGGAAAGAGAGCTGAAGAGTTCGAGCATTTAGGGTTGCGGCCCCAGTGCCTGCAACAGTTGGTAATATATACTCTATTATCATCATTTATCATCTATTTTATACTATATAACTTTATATAGCTATTTTTGAGAAAGGCCTTCACTAACCATCATCATCCACTCAGGGCCCTGCAAGTGCGATAGCCCAAGGCTTTAACATGTTTAGAAGTTGTTTTTTTGGCATTCATCAAACAAGATCGTGATCCCGCCCATCGTCCAACTGTTTCTTTCAAGGATGGATGCTTAGAGACATCCTGGAAATAGATCCGCCCCACCAGAAAGAGATCTACCCTGACATGTAGCTGGTGTTTCCCGCAGTTCCGAGGCCCACTCTGCGGCCTTTTTTCTTTATTCCCCAAACAGATTTACCTGTGAGGGGTTCTTACTCCTTTGAAAGGGGTGCATGACCGGGCCGCATGATTTTACATTTGTCTCCGGGCTTGCGTTCCTGCCAGTTCCACACTGTGGGTGCTTTGGCCGCATGTTTTTTCACTGGTCTCCCATTTGTCTCCCACTGTCTCCACTCGCTTGTGGGTGCTTTGGCCGCATGTATTTTCTCTTGTCTCCCACTTTCTCCAGTCCCTTGTGGGTGCTCTCCCATTTATCTCCCGCTTGTGCCCCACTGTCTCCAGTC